TATATATATACATACACGAAATATAAACAATATATATTATTTAATATATATACATACATACATATATATATTAAACAATATATATATATATAAAAGTAATTGTTTTACATTAATATATATATATATATATATAATATATATATATATATATATATATATATATATATATATATATATATATATATATATATATTTTATAAACAATAAATTATATACGCGAAATATAAATAATATATATATACAAACACAAAATATATTAAATATATATATATATATATATATATATATATATATATATATATATATATATATATATATATATATATATATGTGTGTGTGTGTGTGTGTGTGTGTGTGTGTGTGTGTGTACTATATACATTAATAGTCGAAATTTATTTAGTTACATTTAGTAACATTTTAGTTGCATTAAATAAAATATCATTTTCATTGTTGTTACATTTTGATCAATTAACAATTTTTTTGGTAGTAGTTGCATTTAGTAACATTTTAATAGTAGTAGTCACATTTTAAATTGTAGTTGTTAATATTACAAATTGTAGTTAGTATATTTTCGTAGTTGTAAGTAATTGCATTATAATCTTTTACATTGTTATTAATTTTACACTTGTATTCAATTAGTTGTTAATAAATTTGTAATTCAATTTATTGACATTGTAATTTGTAATTTGTATTTTTTGTAACGTTTTTAAGACAATGGACTGTGCTAGGAAATCCGTTGATATAGGTAATCTCCAACGCAATCGATCAAAGGAGATTGCGAGAGGTCATCCTTCGGGCTGGTCGGGCCGGTCGAAAGGTAAACGACAAATAGGGGCAACATCTTCGTCCCAATCACGCGATGATTGGACGACCGATTATGATCATAGAGATGCGATGACCGGATGAGCAACTTCGAGATCTCTTGAACCAAAACCAAGGCCACTTTTTCCATCAACAAAACATCTCAATCATTGAAGAGTAGGCATGGCAATGGGTCGGGGCGCGGCGGGTATTGCAAGACCCGGACCCGCCCCGTGACTTGGCGGGGCGGGTCCGCCCCGCCCCGTGACCTGCACGGGTCCAAATTTGTTGACCCATGACCCGCCCCATGCGGGGCAGGGCGGGTCCGCTCCGCCCCGCCGTAACCTAATTAGCTAGTATGTATTTTTTTGTGGGAAGTTGTTGCCAATTGAATCTACATAATGTTTATCTCTAAATAATAATTAAAAATCAATATATGAAATTAAATTCATGATACGCTAAAAATTTCAAAAATTAAGGAAAAATTACTCAAACTTGAATAGTTAATCTTATTAGTTATATTAATAATTGAATATATGTATTAAAATTCTATATATAAAGAAGACATTGATAATCCGCCGTGCATCTCATTATAATATATACTCCGTATTCATATATTATAAGATCAAAGAATTTATGATTTATTGTATATACACATATGTATGTTGAAGTATATTTGTAGTACTATAATTTAAGAAAAAGTATGTATACTTATATATTCAGCGGGTCGGGTCGGGGCGGGTCAGGGCGGCACGGGTCAATTCTAATACCCGGACCCACCCCATTGTATAGGCGGGGCGGGGCGGACCCGCCCCATTTGCAAGACGGGGCGGGGCGGACCCGCCCCAAATGTCTCGGGCCAGGGCGGGTCATTGCGGGTCGGGTTTTTTTGACATCCCTATTGAAGAGGAGTTGGAGGAGGAGGAGGACGACGAGGATGCTGGAGGAGGTGGCGGCAATGTGGGGCACCAAGGCGGCGGGGATGACAAGGAGGAGCATGACAATGATGAGGTACATTTAAAAGCAATGTTTGAGTTAATTTGTGAAGAAAATTTGTCTTTTATTTTTTTTGAAAGTCTTGCTTTACGTGCTTATGCTCAAGGTTCTTTAAATCCACAATTTCGAAACTATAGCCGCAAAACAATTAAAAAACAAGTTATTAAACAATAACTTTTGGGAAAGGAAAATTAATTCAATTTTATGGAAACTTTAATGGGCGTGTGGTTGTTTGTAGTGATATATGGGAAGATACTTATAAGGATATTTAATACTTATGTCCTTCAGCAAGAGGCGGCCGGACCTAGCGTAGTCTAGGGTTAATTTGGGGGGGTGACTTTTCACGGCGATCCTTGTCCCGGAGGTTACTTTCGTGGGGAAAGCTTGTGTGGAAGTGCAGGGCGGTGAATTCTCTGAGGTCTGGTGATACGGAGAAGACTTCTGAGCTTTGACGGGGGGTTTGGCAATTCGGCTTGCGGTCAGAGTGGTGCTCGACTAAGAGGCCTTCTGCGCATTACCTTCAGGCGTTTTTGTTGAGGGCAGCGAGACAACATAGGTCTCCCAGGCGACTGGTGTGGAAATTACCATCTGTGCTTTGGAATTCCGTAACGGAGGCTTGGGGATAGGCAGAGGAGGTCCGGCTGGGTCGAGAAAGGTAGACGGCAGGGGAAGACTTCTGCGTAGTGATTTAGCCCGACAGATTTTTGAGAGTGGTGTCAGTGGCTTTCATTGATTTCGCAGGCGACCGTGGATCCGTGGTGGTTAGGGTTACGAGACCCGAGCTTCCGATGATTAGCTTGGCTATTATATTCACCAGACCTCAGAGAATTCACCGCCCTGCACTTCCACACAAGCTTGCCCCACGAAAGTAACCTCCGGGACAAGGATCGCCATGATTAGCTTGGCTATTTTGGCTCTGATCCGGGTGGAACGCTAGCGGTATGGGTCCCCATTAAAGGCGGTGAATTTGGACTCCAATCGGTTGTTGGGGGTTGATGCGGTTGTTATGGCCACCTCAAGTGGTGGAGGAAGAAGATGATGTGTGGATGATTTGTCCCCTCCTGAACCGCCGCCACATAGGAATTACGCAACTAGGGAGACAACAACGCAGTTGATATTTATTTATTTTTGCTTTGTTCTGTTTGCTAATCTTTATTTTGTTTTTATTATGTCAAATAATAAGGGTGGTAGTATCTTAGTTTTCTCTACCTTAGTGGTTAGATTTCTGTTGAGAGGCAATCAGGCTGATTCAACCACTAATAGCCTCAAAGCTCTCACATTTTCAGCGATTGGTCTCGCTCTTTTTGGGGTAGAATACTCTATGTCTGATAAAGAAGTGAGGGGCCCGGTGGGTTTTTGGTTTTGTATGTTTAGAGGAAGGGTAGTGTCTGATGGTTATGTTTATTGTTTGCAAATTCTCCTGATTGTACTGCGAGTTTTGATTTAATATAATATTGCTAGTTTTCCTTTCAAAAATATGGGAAGATACTTATCATCACTTGTATTATTTGGGTGTTACTGACATTAGATTGATGATTGATATCTATATTCTCATGGGACGTACTTTAATTGAATATTGTTTGATTGATAAGGTGTTTGTTATTGGCTTTGATAATGCTACTAACAATACTGCTGCTATACCTAGATTGCGTGAATTATGTGGTCCGTCTACTTTGATGAGTAGATTTTTTTCATCAGCGTTGTGCATGTCATATTATTAATTTATGTGTGAAAGACAGCTTGGCCGCATTAGGAAATGTGATGGAGAAAGCTAAGGGGGCAATTAGATTGATTTGGGGTAGTAATCCACTGAAAATGCAATGACGTGCTTATTTGAGGTCTAATGTGTAAGGTATTGTGCTTTTCCTAAAGATCTTTCTATTCGTTGGAACGATACTTATAATTTAATTGTTGTGCTTCTTAGATTTAAAGATCATTTTCCTACTTTCATGAAAGAAACTTGTAATTATATTATAGAACCGGTTGAGATCGACACAACGCAAAAGATTTGCAATGTTTTAGTTTATTTTAAAACGCTACTCAAACTTTTTCCCATGTGTATAAACCAACTAGCAACCAATTTTTTATAGAAGTTGTTAATCTCGCCGGTGCTTTTCAAGAATTTTCTCAAGCTACTTATGTATATTATTTTTGTGATTACATGAAAGAAAAGTTTTTAAAATATTTTGCCTACATTCCACCTATTTATTCTATTGCTTTCTGTCTTGATCATCGTTTCAAACTTTCAAATTATCAAACATTTTTAAAATACTATTATACTGCATTCTACGGTCCATTTCCTATGTATGAAAACACACCTATAGATCCTCAAGTCCAATTCAACGAGGTTAGTAATCTATTTCACGCTTTATTTAATGAGCTTCATGCACAATATAGTAATGCACCCCTCCCCCAACACCGAGTGCTTCCTCTTCTAAAGGAAGATGTTTTTTTAAATCAATAATACTCTTTTGAAAAAAAGTAAATCAACTCCTGCCTTTGCACAAAGCTCGATTAACGAGCTCTCTTTATATCTAACGTTTTCTGTTGAGTTTAATAAAGCGGAGGACTTTGATATTCTCCCATGGTGGAAGATCCACGAAGGGATGTTTCTGGTTTTATAAAAAATGGCCAAACAAGTGTTGTCAATGTCGGTATCAACTGTTATCGTGGAACAAGAGTTTAGTTAAACTATTAATGTTTTGACTGACTATAGAACGAGGTTGAGCGCTTCATCTTTTGAGACACTCATTTGCTTCTATGATTGGTTGAAGGCCCGCCGTAGAACACAAGAAGTCAACATAGCACCGGACTGCCATTTCATGGAAGAAACGACAACTGATGCCGGAAGCGACTCCGATGTGATTTTCAACTTTAAACATTCTCAATTGTAATTTTCAAATGTGATATTGATACAAGTGACAATGTAGTGTTTAAAATAAATGTATATCATCATTTATTTATTGTACAATAATTTAAAAAAAAGGACCGGACCGAAGCGGGACCGGACCGGAACCAGCCGGGTAGACCAGACCGGAACCGGATCCGTTGAAACCCGGGTCGGTTCCGGTCTTCACAATTCATGCCCGGGATCGGCCGGTCTGGGACCAAAACCGGGACCGGGACCAGACCGGGACGGGACCGGGTCCACCCCTAATTCCACTCATGAGAACTTTGGTGGAACTCATTTGTACTCAATTGCAAAGTCATCAAACATTCAGACATATCTTGATTAGAAATTCAAACTTTCAAGGTTTGTGGGAAAACAAAAGACGTCTTTTAACTTATACTTTACAAAACTTGCAGCATGTCCTTTGGAATCTGTACAGAACATTGAAGATTTCTGAATAAATTCAAAATGTAATCAGGAAACTTCATCAAGATCCCAAATAAAACTTCCACTATATGTTGGCCTTTCGGTTACCTTCTGCCTGTTTGGATGGCCGAAATTATTATGGAAGAATTAGTTTACATCTTGACATACATTTGAGATTTTATAAAAATAATGGAAAGAATTACATAATATAAACTGGCTTAAACCCTGCCTTCAGACTCAAACTCCTTGAGGGGGATATATCTTGATATATAATTATGGGTGTGTGGTTTTATTTAAAAAAACTGAATCGTTCTGTACTTTTTATTCATTTTTAAAGTCTTTATATATATAAGATATATACTAATCATCCATCCAAAACCTTCCAGCCAAACAGAACACTTGAGAGACCAGAATATATCTTAGCGATTCACCACTTGGCTCACGGAGGAGTATCCCATGAGCCGATGAAGCGGGGAGCTCGTTCTATCCAGCTCCCCTTCTTCATCACTTCCTGAAGACGACTTTCTCCCCAAGGATTTTTTGAATGACCGCCTTGCAGATTCAAAGGTCTCATCAATTGTGGTGCTGGAGTCATCATCCTCACTGGGTGGAGGTGCTGCAACCTCAGCAAAGTAAGGAATCACATGTTTCCCGTCCTGAACCGAAAATTTCAAAACATTCTTACACACATTGCACCTCAGTCGATGGAACCTTCTTCTAAAGAGACCAAAATCTGCTGGAATCCGTAACAACTTTGAGCAGTAATAGCATGTGATGATGGGAGCCCCACCAGCTACGGGAAGGAAATGACACCTCTTAGCATACATCTCCCTCAAGTGGAGTTTCTTATGGTCATTCACAGAGGAACGTCGGGGACTAGGCGAACAAAGGGTATCACCAGAAATGCAACCTCGGGGCAGCTGCCCTGACCAATGCCAGACTGGAGACGGCGGGCAGCAATGCGAACATGGGAGACAATGTAAAACCTCTCCAGAAAAGGGTACTTTTGACATTTGAGCTGGTGTTGAATGAAACATATCGTTAGGGTTTCCATGCCGGAGATGAATCTTATGGATTTGTTCTTCAAGTTCATAGATCATCTTGTTCAAGAGTTCTATCCTGTCAGGTTCTACATCTGTGACCATGCTGCTGGATGGGTTAAAATCTGTTATTCTGCGAGTTGAAGGGCTTCCGTGGCAATTCATTGAATTCATAAAAAACGGATCTTTTTTGAAATACTCATCCTTATCATCCAACCACCTCCTGCTTCCTGTGGCATGCGCTACTCTCCGTCCATTTTCTTGCAAATATCTCTCCATATTGCCAGTTTCATCCTCCCTCGTTTGGAGACGCATTTTGTGGATCTGGTCTTCAAGTTCATGGATTGTCTTTAAGAGTTCTATCCTGTCACAATCTGGACCAGTGACAATGCTGCTAGATGGAATAGAGTCTGATTTCTTATAAGTCGAAGGGCTTCCATGGCAATTAGTAAGAAGTGGAACTTTATCGACATATTCATCATCCTTATCACCCAACCGCCTCCTATTGACTAATCTCTGTCCATAGTGTTGTGAATATCTCTCCACAGTGTTTGTTTCATCATCACCATCACAAGATGATGCGCTACCATAATAAGCGTAATAGCTTCTGTCAAAACCCGGGGAAATTTCCTTACCGGGATTTATTCGATGATGACTAGGTGTGGCATTCTCTGAGGAAATGCTATCATTTATGGGGCTTTGATTTGCTGCTTCTGTACACACTTGCGATTCGGGGCTCTCGAGCTGACAAGCTCCAATATCATCTCCCACACCCTCACCCCCTGCTGGGGGGCAAAACGGGAATGAAGTTTCATGACTCTTCAGCTTAAGTTCTGTTTCTCCTGTAAACTTGCTGGAGGAAGCCAAAGATGGACTCAAATGGGATTCATCTCGACTCTGCTCAAACGGTTCTCTAATGCTTGGTGACTCATCACAGCCAGAATTTTCATCTCCATGCTGTTCCCTGCTGTGGTTCCTGAATCCGTCTTCATTTGTTTTGATGATGTTACCCTTCAAAGTGTCTCCATGGGGGGAGATAGTAGCATCTTGTTGGGGTCCGTTGAGTTCTTTTTCCACTGAATTCTGAGGTTGTTCATTTTTTACAGGAGTTGTTTCACCAGTGCAGGGCTCAAGATCTGTATTATGATTTTTTCTTTTCTTTGCTGCATGGAAAACAGTTTTGAGTTAAGATCACATGGAGAAATAGGGCTATCAGCTCTGCAAATCATAAATTCACAATTAGTGTTTAAATTGCGTAAACTATATGCATAAATTAATAAATGTGTGTGTAACTCCTTTAGTAGCAATTTTGTCTAATGGGTATATCTAATCAGTAAAGTTTAAGGAAAGATCGTTCTGAAGTTAATTAATAAAATACTCCTGTCTTTGAAATCTGGAAATGATGATATAAAAGAATTAAATAGGAAAATAAAGAAGGGTTATGGATTTACTTTACTATCCTCATTTGATACCCCATATACCAACATTGCTACTCACAACCACTAAATATAAGGGCAAATTCTGAAGTCGAATGGAAAAAAATAAGTTTTATAAGGACCATGGCTAGTGAAATTGATGAGGAAGCAAATATATTGTAATAAGCAAATTTCAGTCGCCAGACCTAAACATCAGTAAAATATACGTAATATAGACGGTAGACCTTATCGGACAAGATCAATTTACACCAGACTAGACCGGACTTAAGAAAACATGCCTAATGTTTCATGGCATAGTAATTGGATTCCCCACACCTTATTTCTCGGGTCTCATGGCTTAAAACAATAATATTGTTACTCAAAAGAAAAGAAAAAAAGTAAAAGAAAGAAGAGATTAAGCACCTTGAAGAACTGTGCTACACCCTCCACATTTGTAGACGGGAATATCAGAAGGCTCATGAAGAACCTGTAAGCATTTGGGGCATCTCACAATTCGAACTTTAGCATTTATTTCATCACCCATTTCACTCCAATTCCACTCACGCTTTTGCACCACACAAACAGTCAAAATCTGCATAAGCGAAATATACAAACAAAAAATACTCACTTTGAAGCCTTTTATGATCAATGATACAAAGATATAGTGCACCTATAGTTATGTTGCTTTGACTGTCAAAGACACATTACCACAGTTCTACCCTATTGAGGCAATACTCAATTTAATCCTAGACTATTAATTTGGTCCCCAACTTAACTTATTTAACAAGTTTAATCATCTATTAAATTTTTCCATCTTTTTCTCAAATCAAATACAATCCAATCAATTTATAATGCAGCTGAAGGTCGTATCCTTCACTGTTATCACTCTCCTATAATCTATTACACATATATCGAAATGAATCTAATCTATTACACTGTTATCACTCTCCTATAACAGTCTCACCTTGTACTCAATGAAGAGAATACAGATGAAATCAAAGGAGGGCTAAATTCGATAAAAAATGAAAGTTGAAGAACAATGCTTACCAAATTAATATTATGGGACCAAACCGGATATTGTCTAATTGTTTAGGACTTGTTATGGTAATAGCTTTACCATCAGGCTCTATTTGCAAACTTGCAGTACCTACTGCCTTACGCCCTAAGACGTTTGCTAATAACTTTTGAAGTTCTTAATGTAAAGTCTAATTAGTTCTAGACTTGCAATGTCTAATTACATTCAACTTGTTAGTCCTCACAAATTATGGAGTTCTTCACCTTAATAAGCCTCGCTAACTAGAGTTTAATTGACACTTGCTAAATGAGGCAACAGTAGCTTTTTATTAATTTATTTAGTCCTTACCATTTCATTTACTTATTAATTATGTAGGATCAGAATGACTAATAATTTATTAATTTGACTTATAATATACTTTGTGTGTATTCAAATGACCCGGAATTATTTTATTGCATAGAATCCCTCTTTTTGTAAGAAGCCTTGTGTACAAAAATGTTGATTTTAATAAGGATAGTGACTAATAATGTTTTTAGTTGGACCAGTTCTAGTCCAAAACAAACTAGATTTAAACAGTCCAGACCAAATCAGACTTGAACACACCAAACTAGATCGGACCGGACCAAACTAGATCGGACCGGACCAAACTTCGAGAGTTGTAAACTACAATAGAAGAGACATCTACCAAACCATACCAGATCAAACCAGAAAGATTCTACCCAATTAAAAACATACTAAGCTGTATAAGGTCCATGACACACAAGTTTAGCTCTTTAGATAGGCAAAGAGGTGAATGAGTGTAGAATTAACGAATTAAATTGTCTCTTTGCTTATTTTGAGGCACCTGAAAGCAATCAAATCTCTTTTTTTGTATGTACTTTATTTTATCTGTTGTTGTTATTAACAGGATCACAATATTGTTAGACAAGCAGCAAGGCAACGGGTTGAGTTTTATAACAAAGTCTATCAAAGAAGGAGCACTAAGGCAGTTAGTACTAATGAGTAGTTAAAGAGTCTGTTAGTTCTGTTATTCCCTGCGTGGATCATTTACTAAAAATAGAAACAGATAGAACTAGCAGAGCAGGCTGTTATTTGGTTGGACTGAGAACTGGGAGATTGGGGCTTGTCGAACAGTCCTATACTTGTATTCATTCTGTGATCCTTCCTACATCAATAAATCTTCTTTTGATCTTGTATCTTAATAATTGTTGTGGATTTTACTGTGTTCTGAGTCGGATTACCAGTGTTCTAACATTGGTATCAGAGCATTACGTTTCTGGTGATTGGAACTGTGATCGGAGAAGTAACGCATTTCCAGAAAATTCTCGTTTCAAACTGTGAATGGTTAGAATGAGAGGTAAAATGGAAAACCGGATGGAATCGCTGGAGCGAAATTATCAGGAGGTGAAATCTACGTTGGACAACATCGCAGTTACCATGGCGGCGATGAATGAACAACTTCATAACAGAGGAAGGTCGCGAACACCTCAGCAACCTCATACGCGAACTTCGAACAGTCCGGTCGCTTCAAGGGTTAATTGAGCATTTCTAGCATATTTGACCCTTCATAATACTACGTATCATTTACAATGTAATGTGTCACATTTGCATCAAATAATAACTATATATATACACCGTATATAGTAATATCTCTTACACATAGTAACACGAAACATACTCTGACTTATACACTTTCATGTGTATGAGGTAGTGAGGTACTGTGAGCACGATACTCTGGTACCACGGTATAATCACTAACCCATAGAGCATCAAGGGTAAAAGCTAAGACCTTGTTTGGCTAGGCCAGGAATTCCAGAAAACTACTCCAAGCAACCTAATAAAAGCATTTGAAACTTCTTATTTTAAGAAGAGACGAATGATGGTCTATTTAAGTAAATGTGTTAAATTTTGGTCTTATTTATAGAACTTTTTATTTCTGGAAGCAGAATTCCCAATACTTTCCTCATTCCCATAATAATTTCAGAAATCCCTAAATTTGAGGCGGGAAACCTTTATTTTCCTTGGGAGTCAGTCGGACTGGATCTGTCCTCTAAACAATGAATCTTGATATGGAACTAGGAAAACGCAGAACATGAACAAGACAAACCAAGCTTCTATAAAACAGTATCACACATCAATGGAACGCAAGATTCTAGATTCTCCTCAACAATAAAATAAACTTGAACCCTGCTCCAGAATCCCAACACAGACAATAATTACACAACAATAATCTTAAGACTACGCGAAGCTAAGCATAGAAAAGTTTAAACTCAAATTCCAAAGTAAAACCTAGTTCTGACTTTCCAGATTTACTCCAAAGAAATCTGTGGATTGAAATGAAAAAAAAAGAAACCCCCTTTTGAACTGAAACCAGAAACCCAGTTCCAAAAATTTCAGATATTTCCAGACATACCTTTCGGAGAATCAGAGGGCTGGTAAGTATTCCGTACAAAAGATCAAAGCTTTCACCATACCTTAACTAAACAATTACGGAGTATATGTTTGTACATCTAATCTAATATATACGAAGTATGTGTGTGTGGGTGTGCAGAATTTCAAGAAAGGAGATAAAGGTGTTGAAAGAAGGAACCTGAAAGGAAACTGGGTCAAAGAATTTCTTTTCGTTAAGGCCAAGTCGTCTCTCTCCTTCCCCATATATTCTCTCTCTCTAAAAAGTAAAAGATCAGTCTTTGGCTCTTAGCACGTCTGCCAACCATAATTTCGAACTGTCTCGCAAGTGAAAACAAATACCGTTACTTGTTTATTTTTTCGTTTTGTTGTCTAGCTGTATATTCCTAGTGACATTTCTACGTAGGACTGTTACTTGATCGTTAAAGTTTTAAATAGATCAAATCGCAATTATTTGAGAATCTCATATTGATCATCTAGGTTTCATAATTCTTAATAATTGGACAATCACTTATGATTTTCTTCTTCATTAATAAAAATCGTTGTTTTATTTTTCCTTTCCTTTTTCGTTCAATAAACTAACTTAATTGATGTACTAGTATATAATTTTAGAATATTTAATTTGAGATTTTAGAATATATAATTCGATTTTAATTAATGAATTCTTATACGAAGTATATAACAAGTTAAACATATATTTAGGACTTTTGATTCAAATGATTTTTATGGAACTTTGAGAAATATCAATTTATTAAATTGATTTAACTATATTAAAAACTTCAATTACATTATAATAGATTTTCTTAATTGGAACATCTAATTATATATTCTAAATCTAAATACGCCAATTAAGTTATTTTTATTTTTTGGGAACATAAAACAAAGGAGGTTATATCTTTCAAATGTGAAAAATCTTTGGTGGGTGTCCAAAACGAGCAGAAAAACGCCAAATTTGTTCAATTTGAAATTTTAGTGTCCAATATGAAATACAAATGTAACAATAGTGTTCAATTTGGATTGTTGGTTGCTGGATCTGAAGGCCTGCTAGCTTTGTGAGAATAGTTTGAGGAAGAAGTTCTTTGTTTATTGTTGGTTGCTGGATTTCAGAACCTTGTGAACTTCTTGTTTATCTTCCTGGTCATGGTTGTCAACAAAGCTAGCTCCTTTTTCAGTTCATTGATCTCTGGATCAGAATTAGACATATTCTTCTCATCATCGGATGAATCAACTTCAAAGGAAATTTTGGGAGTTTTTTCTTTCTTTTTCTTTTCAGTTGATAGGAGAGCAAGTGTATCAACAATGTTCTTTCCTTTTGAAGAATTGACTTTTTCACGTATATCCTCAGAGAATTCTCCTAGACAGGCGTAGAGATTGTGGATGGTCAGCTCATCCAGATCTTTATTTTGTCTGATTCGTTTGGCCGTTTTCTTCCATTTGGGTTTGAGAGACCTCAGGAAGCGAAGGTTAACTTCCATGTTGGTTTTCCGAATGTTGATCTTCTTCATCTCGTTCAGAACCGTCAGAAAACGTTGATATGTATCTTCCAGCTCCTCATCAGATCTAGCAGCAAAGGAGTCGTATGCAGTCAAGGTGTGAGCTCTTTTGGATTTGATTCCACATCGGTGCCTTGCCTGATCTGATGGATTTCATCCCATAGGTCTTTAGCAGTGGTAAAACTATCAATTTGCATAAACAAGTCATTGGGGATGGCTTGGAGCAGATACGTGGCAGCTAGAAGATTAGCTTTTGCTATGAGTTTTTCGTCTTCAGTGTAATCTTCTTCTTCACTTTTCAGATTCATTTGAGCAGGTGTGGGAGGATTAAATGTAGTGTTTTCAGGAACTACATCCCAGACCTCGATGGGTCCTTCTTCCATAGACTTGAGAATATTCTTTCCGTTTTCCCTGCTTCTGGTGAAGTTCAAGAATCTGACTTTCCATACTGCGAATTCTCCTCTTCTGAGCAGAGGAGATCTAGAATCACTTCCAAGAGTATAAGCTTTCATGACTGTTGTTGATCTTAAAGGCGAGAACTGTTCGTTTATAAAATAAGACTTCGGTACTGCTTTAAGAAGATTTCGGATGAGATCTTGGAAGAAGATTTCGGGTGTCCGAAATTAAAAACTTTGAAAAGATTTCGGGCGATCGAGATTATGAATTCGGAAAGGTAGATTTCGAAACCAAATCTCGAATGCTAATTTCGAGTTTTCGAAACTAGAAACTCGGAAAAGATCTCGGGCGATCGAGATTATGAATTCGGAAAGGTAGATTTCGAAACCAAATCTCAGATGCTGATTTTGAGTTTCCGAAATTAGAAACTCGGGAGACCTGAAGAGTTTAGAATTCGGGGCTTCGAAATCTCAGGATTTCGGACCTCCTTAAAATCTTGAATATGCGAAATCTTTAAAGATTTCAAATCATCGAGAATATGGTAAATCATTTTGTACTGGGATTCTTTTTCTGTGGCTTTCCAAGTTCAAGTTGCCTTCTAAAACAGTAAGTTTCCAAGAACAAATCTAGAGATTAATTTAACCAAAAAATGTGAATTTGATCAAATTAATTCCAGAAAAATTCAAGGATTCTCAAGAACAGAATTGTGCCGAGGCTCTGATACCAATTGTGTGTAATATGCCCAGATTTCAACAGTAGAATAATCTAATAATAATCGGAAGAATTAAAACAGTAAAAGAGAAATCTCACCAATAACGTATACCGTGTATATATAATGATGAATGCATGAAGAACAATTACACATTTACACAGTATTTCGAACGAATAAGCTTGAGAGAGAATTTCTATTCTACTCGCTCTACATAGAATGATATGCGGAAACAGAATGTGTAGAGACTTAGCAGTTTTCGGCCATCTCAACCTATATTTATAGGAGAGATGTTCGAACTACTTAATACAATTAGGAATGCAGCTTTTGAGGCGTGTGGGTTTAATTAGAGCTAGATTAAATGGGGCTAATTCTCTCTCAGCTAAACTAATTAAATACAAAGACATATTAAATAAATTACAGATAAATTGAACACAATAAATAATATTTCGAAATGGTTTAAAAGGGTACAATACAATGACAAAATTAATACTACCTCCGTTCTTAAATAAATGAAACATGTTGAATTTACACTATTCACATGTTGTACTTTGACTACATTTTATTAATTAATGTATTAATATATTTTTATGAAAAAATATTGTTAAACTTGTCTTTTGAAAATTTTCAAAATCTAATTTTTTTTACTAATACAAAATTATACTACTATCTCTGTCCCGAAAAGATTCGCCATATTGACTTTTCTTGGTCAATGATGGTAAACTTTGAACAATGATTTTAATTATTATATTTGTATATAATTTATAAATTTTGTACTTTTATGAAAATATTTTGAATAAGGAACATTTTTGATATAATTTTCATATTCTAAATCATTTCGTACTAAAAAATATCATTGGTCAAAGTTGATTATCATTGACCAAGACAAGTCAATTTGGCGAACCTTTTCGGGACGGAGGGAGTAGTATATATTAATGGTCAAAGTTGTGTCTCAGAAAATGTGAAATATTGACTGTTGCATTTATTTAAGAGCGGAGGAAGCATTTTTTTTTAGAAATATCTTGCAATTAGTAAATTACATTATACTGGTCGATTAAAGAGGCAATAGCACAAGCACAACTGAGGAAAAATATAGAAAAATGTCGATACGTCATACTCCCTCCGTTCTTCAATACTTGTCTCTTATTCCATCTGGGTTGTTCTTAAATAGTTGTTCTTTTTTCCATTTTTAGAATTTTTTTCAATAACTATACTTATATACCTTCATTCTCTTTCCTAATTTTTCATTCTATTTTCTTCTTTTTCATTTAAACACAATTCACTGCACCTTTTACATTACCCTTATTATTTTCCTCTTAAAACTTTTGCCAAAGTCTAAAGGAAAAGTATTGGAGATCAGAGGGAGTATAAACGTTGTCATCATTAAACTCATGTTAAAATTAAACATAAAAAGAATATCATCAAGTTGCTAAATATAATAAAAAAAACCATCATTCTTCTTTCTTGTTCTTGGTTGAATATTAGTTATAATTCATAATTTCACTGTGAGAGCCAGTATATAAATAATATTACTTAATTTGTAAAGCTGCACAAATATGACATAATAAATGGTCATATACACTACATTACTACAAGTTAATACTCATTATTTTTTAAAAGAACATTAAATGTCTAAAAAGAAAGAATAACAAAATCTATCTAACATTCACATATTTAACTATTTTAAAGGCGAATGAAAGCATACCTAAGCCATAAAAATGTTGGTCCGGATAAGAAATTTATTGGGATGGGAAAATATAAAATATCAATAGTTTAATGTAACTCCCAACCTCGTAGGGTCCAAGGTCGTTACTCCTAGATGTGCTCCGAACCCAATATTCATCTCATAAATCAACACAAGCCTTTTATGGCGCACACATTTGTCCTCATTCGTGCGTGTCATAAGAAACTAGCTCCCAAAGCGGTCACCCGCCCCCCTACTCTCGCACAAGCACGTTGAACTATACAAAGTTTTTAGTAAATGACATTCTTAAAAGAAGGTGCAATATTAGTAGTGCTTTTACTCATTTTGAAACCCTTCTGAGTATTACATTTAATGTATTGCTCTTGAACATCTTAGTCTGTATTTATTTAATTTTCAAAATCAAGAACTAGTCATGTGCGCTAGATAAAAACCTATAGAATCGTTTAAACATTTAGTATTCGATTCAGTACCATTATGATGAGTTACGTTGATTTGACACTACTCCAGTTAGATTTGTATGCCCACCCCTATGCTTTTGAATGACTAAGATTACCTCCATGTTAGAACATATTTTATGTGTTCAGTTTAATTGTATTTATCTTTGTTTAAATAGATTTGTATTAGTAGGCTTGTTAATTAATTAACTAATTAATTAGACCCTTTGTTAGACCATGGGTGTGGCTATCCTTTTGTAAATATGATGCTCGATTATCTCTCCTATTAATATAGGTTGCAGGTGTGAACATGCCTAAGAGTTCACAATTCATTTTGCCGCACGTATCATTTTAGAGCTCTCAACTTTATTCTCTATCTACACTTCTACTTTATTTGGTATTCTGTGACAAAAAAATATTTGGTAGTCTGTACTTCATCATGTTATCATTATGAATATCAATAAAGTTTTTGTTTGAGTATTCATTCTTCTACATACATCTACGTATAATTCTTAGTTGTGTTATTCGACTGTTGATCTGAAAAATAACAATTGGTATCAGAGCAAAGACATATAAATTGTTCATCAAAATCGTAAGAACTT